GGTGAAGAAAGCCTGGAAGGCACTTCATTTTACAATGCGTGTTCTCAAAAAGGGGAATAGTAACACTAAAAGTCTAGCCTACACATCACTAGTGCGTCCGATTCTGGAATATGGGGCGGGGTGCTGGGATCCTTACAGGGAGGGACAGATAATTGAGTTAGAACGGGTGCAAAAGAAAGCATGTAAATTTGCATATCATAAGAGCGATTCGAACTGGGAAACCCTGGCACAGCGTAGAAAGATAGCACGTATATGTGCTCTCTTCAAAGCGTACACGGGAGAACGGGCATGGAAGGCTATAAGTGACAGCTTGCAAAGGCCATACTATCTGAGCAGGGTCGATCATATTCGGAAAATTAGGAGCAGAAAGCAAAGAACAGATATCGGAAAATATTCCTTTATAAATAGGACCATCCAACTCTGGAAACAGCTACCTGCTGATGTTTTAGGGACTCTCTCCTGTAAACCAAGTACTTTTAGGAAGAAGGTTAGAAAAGTGATAAATGAGGTGGAGTGAAGGGAATACATGGGTGGGTGCAGTGAAGTGAGGTGAAGGGAGGTAAATCGGGGCTTCATAAGTGAAGTGAAGTGAAGAGAAGTTCCTAATGAAATGTTAGTTCATCAGTTCATGACGTATGTAATTCATTACTGTTACTGTCTTACGTCTAGTTGATATTAATTTTTAAGTTATCTACTTTAGATTATCTGTTGTGTTTAAATATTTGTGCCTTATGGTTTTGTAATCTTACGAGTTGTTTTATTTTGAGTGTGGTGTGTTGTTTTGTTGTGTCTCATTGTTTTGTTGTGTCTTATGTTTTTTTGTGTCTTATTGTAGGACCACCGCCACCGGGTAAAAACCCATTTGCAGTTAATAATAAATAATAATAACATATCTTCTCATACGAATCTGAGTGATTTGCACTGGTGTTCAACGAAGAACTTACTACCACCACACTCCGCTGAGCTGGTTTACAATCAATTGTGTCAGGGTCAAAATCGGTGACAGATAAGGTTACCTGAGATTAATGAGCCTTTCTACAAATGAATGAATGTGTTATGCTGGATTTAGACGACGACAGTTGAGAGCTAGAGTTAGTCACAAGTGTCTTGAGAGAGGTATCGAAAGGTGTTTAAACGTTGACAGAATATAGCTATGAGCTTGTCTGATTACAGCGAAACATTTCCCTAAATATCGTGCTTCTCTCAGGGCCGTTTACATGGCAAGGCACTGAGGGTAGATATATACAGACAAAACGTAACTATACATAGAGATGACAGTGAACTGAGAGCCGTCATAGGTCAGTGTGTTCGCAGTGTCAGACGAACAGCAACGTTTTGCGGCAGCTGCGGTTGTTTTGATTATTTTCAAGACGAAAAGACAGAGAACAATTTGGGTGAAGCCCTGGATATCACGACTGGGTAGTCGTGGAGCATTCCACAGACATTTTGCGGATTCGTACTCCTCTATAAAAAGTTTAGTTTATTCAGCAGTCCACACCTTCTTTGTTCCATTTGCGTCCTCAATTTCAGCTCTCGCGAAAGTAAATAAAAGTTCAGATTTGTTGAACTTTGTAGAACAACTATATTTAGAGTTTAGAGTTGTCACGGGCTCTATCGTCGTATGATTTACACTTCGAGTGCTTCCCTCAGCTCATATGTCTCTTTTATCTCTATTTAGACATTAGACTAAGCAAAATGTCTTCTCTCGCGACCATTTACACACAGATACCTAAGTATAACCACTAAACCTGCTCTCTAACGTTCAAACAGAAAGCAGTGTTTTAGGAGTCCTCTGAATGTTCCCTGCCAGCTTAACAACTTAGAAAAAGGACACACCTTGCATCAAAAATGCAATTTAAAGTAATTTGTGTAGTTTTCGGATTAAAATTACAGGAAAATCCTAGTTAAGTAAAAATTAAAAGATCAAATTCTTTCTCATTTTAGAGAAAATGTAGTCACTTTCATTTTCATGTTTTGTTGAGTTTACTTCCTGATATCAGCTTCAGTATGATATTGAAGTCATAATGTATTTTTCAGTCACTGCCATTTAGATTTAACAAGCAAATAACAGATCACATGAATCTTAACTTTTTCATATTTAATAAACATTTATTGTTCATAGCTTTACATTGATAATTTCACAATACTGTGTTAATGGGTTCCATAATATATTTAAATACAATCAGTTTACTTCCTTAATTATTCGAATTATACATTTTATGAGTTTATCAACTTGTTAGTAATTATAACATTTCCTAAATCTTAATAAACGGAAAGATTTGTTCCAAGAATTAATTAAATGGCATTTATTTAGTATTCCAGTTGAACGTCATATTTTCATAAATTATTAAATCGATCCTAAATTTTTATTTACAAAGTACGCATGTAATAAATATGTAACAGGCCGCCTGCTTTAAAACGTGAATCCGCTGAATAGTATCAGATTGTTGAAGAGATTGCATCTGAGATGGGCACTATGGTCGTTGTTAATAATGCATTTCTCCCGTTTGCAAGCAGCATATTGAATAATAGGCATGTATTCGAAGGATGGGCGTTTCGGCCCTGCGTTTGGTTCAAGCAAATAGAATAGCCACTTTCTTAAATATACCGAAGTAAAATGTTATTAACATTCTAATTTTGATGACAAAACTAAATTTTATCCACTGATTAGTCACAAGCAAATTCTATAAATATTGCAAGGCATGTGATGTAACAAATTTGTATTACATTTGAACAGAAGTATTTGTGAGGTTCTGTGGAGCTACACGACACTGTTGACACATTTCAATTTTAAGCACCAGTTAAATTCCCCCCAAAAGTGAAACTTTTTGTTTAAATGAAATTAACAGGCTTTGTATCACTGGAGATCAGGTATTATTTTCCTGATAATATTACTAATTTCATTTATTATAGTGCCGAAAGTATCAATTATACGTTGAATGTTAGCCCCTGACGTGTCAAAGGCTGATGATACTGACTGATAATGTTTTATTACGTTACTGATATTAAGGAAGCCTGTGAGAGGATCATTCAGAAAAGCTTTTGCAAGTCCGATGGTTTCAGACAAAAGAGGAATCGCAGCAGCCAGATCTTCATCAATTGTGATCTCGAACAAGCCGACGAACTCGTCAATGGACTTCGTTAGTTTGCAAAGATCGGGTCCTTCAGCAGTTGCAAGTATGTTTGGATCACAGGAAGCAAAGCACTCACCTAGAGTTTAAAAAAGTCCAATTACTTCATTGTTGTGTTCAGTCAGAGAATCATTAATCAACAATTCTTTGTGCTAGTAAGGTTGACAAAACATGTGTAATTGGAGAGTAAATTGAAGATGGCTGTCTTCGGGGTTGTTGCGCCGTGTAGTCTGGTAGAAGTTTACCGACGTTTCAGAGGTCCTGCTGCCTATATCATTGCTCTAATGATAGAGGCAGCAAAGATCTCTGAAACGTCTGTAAAATTCTACCAGACTACACGGCGCAATAACCCAGAAGACAGCCGTCTTCAGACTCACCACCGCGAAAATCTCAAATCCTATTTAAGGTACAATGATCATAGCAGACGACCAGTTAATGTTGTCTGTGACTTTTCTTTCAGAACTCTGGGTTACTAACCAATAAAGAAGTGTCGCAGCCAATACTTTACTGCCGATATACTCTATATTAACTTCCCATGAAAATTGGGTACACACGCTTGAATAAACATTTCAGGATAAAGATATTGTGTCGCAACGATTGTAACGAAAATTTTACAAGGTAGACATTTGAACCCAATTACTACTTCTTGTCAGATGTCCCCATCTCCGTCCCCATTTTGCTATTCTTCAACAAACTAAACTTTCTATTTTTACGTTAATGACTATTTTATATTATCTCGCCACACCAACTGCCATTTCAAAGTGATTCCTTATTATCGAATAAATCTGCATGTAGACTAAGTTTCTGTTTTAAGCCGATGCTATACAGTTAATTTACGTTATTGTGCGTAAATTACTTATACATATGGCACATAATGCTGAACGGTTTCATATGCAAAAAGTTACTCCACACCGACGGTGCTAAAAATAATACTTCATTATTAGTTCGTGAGATATTTATGTTAGTATTCCCGAAGGCAATGATTTAGAATTCATTTTCATAATTATATCCATTTACCTGATTCTCATAAATATAGGCAGATAACATAGAACATTTACATTTGCATAACCATGCATGTTCAATGAAAACAATGTTCGAGACATTGGCATGAAAAACTTTGAAGGAAGATGGAAGCACGCACGAAAAATATACCACTGTGACTGACGGGTAACTAATGTAACACTAAGTGTCCATAGTTAACAAATCCAGTGCATACCTGCATTAGCACACAGTCCTGCACGGCAGCATCTGCTGCAGCATTCTGACTTCTGGACACACTGCAAAGGGAGTCAGTCACAAGAATTAAAACCCAAGCTATCAAATGGCTCGATTACCTGTCAGCTCCAATACCCTACATATTCTTACTTTACAAAGTCATGCGTTTTATTTAGGTATTGAAAATCTTTGCTGAGAAATATACAAAACAGCTGTAGGTGTATCAGTGCAAGGAACCTATACTTGCTTTCAGAATGTATATAATTATTTTGTAAAATTTTGCATGATATAGGTAAGTTGACGGTGATAAAACATAAAGTATTTAACGGCTGTAAATTTATGTTATACTTTGATTAGTCAATGAGTGTTAGCAATGCGATATTGAAAACAACACCTATAACTATGAGCATAGAAATGTACACATGAGCAGATTGAAATTGTTGAATATTCTCATTTGCTGTAACGATTAAAATAAATCATATGGAAGAAATAAATACGCATTAAGAAATAAATTTAATGTAAACCTGACCTGTTTTGAAATTAACATTTAATTAAAGACAGGCCTAACAGACGTCGCGTTATCACTTTGCAAAATCGTAATTACTTGGGTAGAATGAAATATTTAAGGCACTATGCTTATAAATACTTAAATAACAACATTTTATTTAGTTAATAAACGGTGATTCTACGAAAGCTTCATAAAATTAATTTAGTCGCTATTCCCTACTATACAGCTAAGTCTTGACAACTGAAGTCCAAGAGAATTATAACTTACTGCAAATAATTTATATTTTTCTAAAAACATTTTAAAAATTCGTTTGCCCTATTTATATGCTGCATATAGCATGTCTTAAGTTGTAATATATTCGTATTCCATCCTATATGTTTGATTCAATTTTGCTTGTGTTGTGAAACAGATGAAAAAGAATGATGAAAATTTATTTTATTTTATTCAGTAAAGAGTTCTGGAACAAAATTATTTCCTTCGAAAATTTTTACACCATCATCCGAAAGAAATTCAAATACTCTGTTATCAGTGTAATTGCTACACAATTAATCTATAACCATTCGTAAAGTCATACATTTATAATTTCTAATATCGGACAGATTTTTTAATGGACACGGAATTCTGAACGAAAACTGAAAAATTTATATAGACGATCTTTTTGTCAGTGACCAGAAAAGCAAGAAGAGATGGAACATAAATTTAAATGTCAACAACACACATTTTTTCGGGAAAGTGTATAACTTGAAGGAATTACTGGAAAGGACTGCAAGTATTTAGGAACTAGGGTAAAATATACGGATTCCAAGTACGTTTAAGATATTAGAGTTCATTGACAGTGTGTATAGTATAAATGCAGTGCTTTGATATGCAGTTTAAACTAGTACAATTTGTTAATTTTGTGTTAATTTTAAAACGGGCATGATAGGCATCCTTTTCTTGTAATAAATGTGTATTAAACAGAAATATTTTTAGTGTATTATTATGCAGTTTCTTACTTTGAATAAAAACAGTGTTTATTTTAACAGAATGATTTAGTATACGGCAAATAAAATTATATTGGTTAGTTATGAAGAAGTTATAAATCATGAGAAAAAATAATTTGTTCAGAATCGAAATTCTGAAATAAAGAAATAATTAAGTGCCAGATAGTGCTGGGAGGGTTTATAGTTCACCCATAAAGATCATGGCTTTAAAAAGTAATATTATTAATTAAATCAGTATCTGTTTCTCCTGCAATGTCTCGTTCCAACATGTCATGCACTGTTAAAAATAAACTGTTCAATCATATCGTTTTAAATCTATCTGAAGGTAAAATATTGCACACCCTTCACATTAACGTTCTTTTAAGAACACTTTGCATTATAACGTATTCCTACAATGTTAAATTGAATAACGTATAACGGCAGACTTACTTGTGCATTTTCTTCCTTCAACGTGCAGATTTCAGACTGTGCAGACAATTCTGTTATCAAGATCCAGGTCATAAATAGACCGAAGGCCATTTTCAATGTTGCACTTGCCATTATGCTGAAATTCATGAAAGTTTGAAACATAAGTGTTCAGAAATTATTTTACAGTTACTCTTTACAAGAACGCATTAAATGCCTCAACACCGTTTAAATTTCCAAGCATAATTTTCTGTATCTTATTAATATGGTTTTTTTTAAATGTTACTTAGCTAAATTACACAAAAGTTGGTTTCTTTCGGTTTTAGAATAATGAGAATCTGTAAATACTGAAGACGAATAGAGAAGTTTTACTGAATGTATGAAATACGGAGTGTTTGTTTAAAAAATCTTTCCAATGTATAAGAATTGCTGTAAGCTTTTTAAATTAGGCATAAATCGAAGATCTGATTTTCACTAAGAGCAATATCTTGCCGTTACCACATCATAAGAAAAGAGTAGAGTATGAATCAAGTTATTTTGACCCAAGTGGTCAAGACCCGTGCGCACGTTTTTAAATGTATGTAGAAAACGACTAAATGAGCTTAGAAGTTATACAAACGTGTGCTTCACGCTTCGAATATCGTACAAAATATACGAGTATTTATTATTTCAGTTGATGTGTTTTTATATGTACGATTATCCCGCATTTACTCTGACCTCTTCAAAATAATAATAATGCATTTAACTCTCATCCTGAAACAATCCGTTTCAAATTTATGGTATTCTGATTAAGCTTTCTGAAATTTTATTCTTCCCTTTAGTAGAACGTTGGAATGCCACTATCGATTCTTTCTACTTCTTCCATTACTTACATTCTACATAAAGAAAGTACTAAATGGGGACCTAAAATACGTATTTAATCAATAAGTTTTATTATAAAGACAAATATATCGTTTCTGCTTAACTAACCGTCACACCATTAAGACGTGTGGGGAAGTTGAGGTATAGCTCCAATCTTTATTAACCTTGTTGCTAATCACAGGCAATGTCCCATCCACTTTACCCCTGTGGAAAGAATAACCGAGACCCACACACAAGTAATATTACAGAAAGAAAATCAATAAAAGATTTTTGAATTCGATTTTAATTTTTCTTTCTGTGGCTTCTATTACAGCATTATTCAACCCATATAAATTTCATTCCCGCAAGATTTTAATTAACTTGCTGTGAGGTGTGATTAAATATAGTTCTGCTACAAACAGGGCAATCTGTGGTAATTTAAATAATGGTTAATTTCCAAATTAGATGACTAAAATTAATTTTCTTTCATTGACAATATTATCTCGGCTTAATAAAGTTTTTCAGTAACAATAGCGAAATTACGTGGAATCCCACAAGAAGAATATCACAATTATTTATTTAAAATATATAAATATAATAACGTACTTCTTGAAGATTTCTGTCTTCTGGGTTGTTACGCTGTGTAGTTTGGTTGATGTTTACCAACTTTTCAGAGGTCATACTACCTCCGCCATCGCCCTGATGACGGAGGCAGTATGACCTCTGTAACGTTGGTTAACATCGACTAGACTACACGGTGCAACAACCCAAAAGACAGAAATCTTCATACTCAGCGCTGTGGAAACCCCAAATCTTACAACGTACTTCTTGCCTTTCTTAACTACCACCAACACTCTCTCAGGAAGTTGTCCGTCTTGTACAAAATGTCAACATGATATAAAAACAGAATCGGAGATACCTATTTAATTGCCCAGTTTTAAGTATTTATTTGGGACTGCCATCAATATATTGCTCTCATGGAATTTACTTCTAATCTTAATTTTGTGTGATTTGCTTATTTAAGAAAGGTTCATACGCATTTCCAAGTGTATGTGCAAGAAAATATATCATAATTGATACCTGATACCTGATCTACATAAAAAAATCAATTGATCTTTCTCTAGGCCGATGTTACAAAATATACTATGCATGCATATAAAACACACGAGCAAATTATTGTATTACTAGCACCTCTGTGAATGTTGTCAACATATCTAAACACCATGTGCATTGATTTTAAGACATTTAAACCTATATCGGATAACCATGCCCTCTGAATTTACAACTTAATTTGTTCACTTTTAGTAACGGCTTCTTGTGAAGATTTTTATATGTTGAAAGCCGAAGTGGACATCCAGATCTGAATGCCAGGTGTAACCCTTTGTATCCGTATGCTACAAAGAGACTTGGGGAACTGCTTCTTCCTGTCTTACATATAAATTACCAAATTTTTATTGCGCTGGGTTTATTGCTTTGAGAGCATTACTTATAAGAAAGGTGTTATAAGGGTGTGTTGCCCACATTTTGAACGGTTCTCTGTCTTGCATGTGTGTCTTTTTTGAACGGTTCTCTGTCTTGCATGTGAAAGGAGCGCCTTCTTGAGTTAAACCCCGGAACTTGCACTAATAGGAATCATTTTTATTTATTTCTTAGTTGGAATTTAAAAATTTGTAAACAATCAGGAAGGAGTGACAATTCAGAATGCATCTTCGTACTTCGGAACAATCGTTTAGTTTCCGTCCGTCAAAGAAGCTTGTCGCGTTTACGAGCACTTCATTTGGTAACATTAAATTAGAGATTATCTAAATTCATACTGAAGGAAATAAACAAGTGGCAACTTCTTTTAGATCAGTCAACCGTGAACCATCGACTGTCATTGAACACTTCCCATGAGCCGAGTCCCACTTTACCGACTGAACTAACCAACTAGATGGCTTACGGAACCCGAAGATTCATCACCTAATTAACCAAAGTCCTCCACCGGACCATGTCCTAGGCCAACAAAAAACCAATCTCCTTCAACTCATATCTCCCATAGATCCCGCCTGAGATTATCCTCCCATCTACGTCTAGGTTTCCCCAAGCGGTCTCTTCCCATGAGGCTTCCCGACCAAACCCGGTGCATACCTCTTGCCCCATCATAAGCGCCACATGCCCCACCCATCTCATTTTTCTTGACTTAATTACCCTAACAATATTGGGGGAGGAGTACGAATTTCTAAGCTCATCATTACGTAATTTTCTCTATACTGCATCGTCTTCTCTCCTAGGCCTCTCCTGTAAAATTTGAAACGTATTCTAAATTTCAACTTGATATTGCTCCTTTACCTCTCCATCATTTAATATTTTTTTTCAAATCAAATCTTTCTGTGTTGAAATTTTGCCTAGTTCGTCTACTTACTAAAGTCACTTTGCTACTACCAGATAATGATCAGTGTCACAATCTGCTGCTCTGACTGACGTCACATCTTTTATACTTGTCTGCCTTCTATTATCTAGTAAAACATGACCTATACCAACTGAACAGTTATACCAATAAACCTTTACTTTCTCTTATTGCCTGAGACACCAATAGATAACAGCCAGCAACAAAACGATGCACACGGCAGAGCAACAACGACAAATATGACACTTGGTCCGAGGTGGCACAGCATCTTTACGTCCCCTCAACGTGGGAGAAGAACGGTTACAAAACAAAAATACTTTAGTTTTTTGTGGAATTTCCGTAGAAATGGCACCTGCCCTCTAGACTGTGATTTAATTCTGCTTTTCATTTAATCAAAATATACATAGCTAACACCCTTGCAGCAGAGCCCGCAGGTACAACACCACGATCCTGAGCCAAATCCATCCATTTGCCATCCTTACTGCCCACCTCCCTAAGATCCATCTTGATGTTATTCTCCCATCTCCTTCTTGGTCCTCCCAGTGGCGCTTTGCATTAGGATCCCCTACCAAAATACTGAATGCACCACTTGCCTCCTCTATGCGTGCTACATATCTTGCTCATATGAGCCTTCTAGATTTCACTCTCTTCACTATGGTGGGTAACCTGTACAATTCACGCAGCTCCTAGTGAAATATTCTAAATTCCTCACTTATTACATTCCTCCTAGGTCAAAATATTTTCCTGAGCACACTGTTTTCAAACACTTATAATCTATGTTCCTCCTTCAAAGCAGAAGACCATGTTTCACAACCATACAGGACAACAGGCAAAATTATTTTTTTATATATCATAATATTCAATGTTTTTGATAGTAAACAGCATGATAACAGTTTTTTAATTAATTGAAAACGAGCGTTCCCCGACTGTATTCTACTATTAATTTAATTAAGCCCTCACTTAGTTTATTATTGTTGTTCCCAAATACTTAAATTTATAAACATTTTCAAATGATGTGTTTCTTATACTTATATTCTACCGTTGTTGCTGATGTTGATCCCGCATTACGCCCATGTATTTAGTTTCATCTACATTTACTTCTAGGCCTATTACCTTGCTACCCTGTGGGAGAGTTTCTGTGTTCTAGGTTATGGTACCCACACCATCCCCCAGTAAAATGTTATCATCAGCATAGACAAGTACCTGGTGCAGAACATTCATTTCGAGCTCTTTCTGATTCCCTATGACTTTCCTGATGACATGGTCTAGAGCAAAATCTAACAGCATCCCCCTGTTTGAGGCCAATGTGTACTGGGAAAGGATTCGAAGGAAGGTTACCTATATTAACTCTACTAGATAACCCGTCCATACACATCTTAATTAACATAACAAGTTTCTTTGGTATTCCAAACTCAATCAAAACGCCATAGAGTATCTCTCTTCTAACTGAGTCATATAAAGTAAAGTAAAGCTGTCCCACTATGCGCCATGTAGGCGCTTGCGAGGAGAGGAGGTGTAGCTCCTACTCATTCTTGACCTCGGCACTACATGGGGTGAGTTGTCAGCATCACTCCTTGGCCGCGCTTTACCCCCGGGAAAGTACCCCGTTACCCATTAGATAGGAGGCTGGGTGGGCCCCAGAGCCGGTCATGACGAACAGTCAACATGACAAAATTCCCTGCCCCATTCGGTGATCGAACCCCGATAGTCCAGTCCGTAGCCAGTCACTATACTGATAAATAGTTGATGATATAGCCCATTATAATCCCACGTTTTATCTAATATTTGTCGAATGCAAAAGATCTGATCAATAGCTGACCTATTACGGCGGAATCCACATTGATCGTCCATGATAGTTTCGTTCATAAATGGCGTTAACCTTGTCAGAAGACTATCCGATAAAATTTTGCATG